GAATAGGAAATGCAATTTTTCAATCCAATTGCATCCAATTGAATCTAATTGAATCCAATTAAATCCAATTAAATTTAAAAAAAAGTATTCACTATTTAAAATACGCATTCGAATAGAAAAAAATTTTAATCCATTCTCATTTGCTGGGATGTTTCCATAAAAAAGAAGTATATAGTTTATCTATTATTTCGATGCATAGAGAAAGTCGACAATAATCACAATTTTAACTAGGAAGATGTTCAGATTTTAAACAATAAAAGTCATTACAATAAAGATTAACTTCTAAGATGGTGAACATAATCAAACAAAAAATGAATTCAATAAACAAAATCAAATTTTCACACCGAATTTCTCTCACAATAAATTTTCTTATCTTTATCATATTATCTCCTATTTGACTCTTTCCATATATCCTTCATTTCTTCAGTGAAGAATCCTCTCTCTTTTTGTTTTCATCGTTTCTTATTTATTATGTTTGACATCGCTTTTTTATCTTATTTTATTTGTTCATGTCGGTCTGTTACTTTCACCTCTGTTTACATCAATTTAAGATATGCGTGCTTAAAAATTATATGAATTATAATCACACTTATGAGTCTAAAATTCTTTTCCAATTTATACGCATGTACACACGTACGCACACACGCACGCATACATATGTACTCAATAATCGAGGATGAAAATGAATTAAAATTTTTATGCAGATTTTAAGTCCAATTGAATCCGATTAAATAAAAAAAACTTTTAGTCAATTAGATTCAAATATATTCAATCAGATTCTATTGGAATAAAAAACTACATTTTCAATTGAGTAGTTCTTACTTCTTATGCACAAAAGAAGCCGATATTATTTTGAAAACTATAGAAATATGTTTCATGCAATTTCTATAAATGAATAAAAATTTTTCGGATTGAAAAAGGCTTACTATAACGTTCACAAATGTATTTCTGAAAATCTAAATTCATTTCAATTCATTTTAATTCATTCTCATTTACTAGTACATATAAATGTTCCGAATTGCCTTACCTTACAGCTCACTAAATATAACAAATTAATTACACAGGCCTATAAAATTTAGGGAGACTAATGCTTTGAACTTTGGAAAATATTTCCGTAGGATTTTGATATGTTGAAAATGATTACGTACGTGTGTTGTCCGTTTTTTTTTCTATTACCCTGTTTTTTTAATAAAACAGTTTTTTTCGGAAGTCAATTTTTTATTAATTTTTTCTGGCTAAATAAAAATAAAATATTGAGGTTTGTTTTGTAACATTTAACTCAGAAATATTTCAACAATACTAAAAATATTTTTTCGATATTAAAAATGTCTTATGCAAACTGCAAACAAAAGTTTTGGAAAAATCGTAAAACCGAAAAAATTACATATTTTGAAATATAAAATCTAATAATTAAAAGAAAAAAAAATCGTAAAAAATATCTAACAATTTATAAATCAAAGTATAAAAATGCCTATAAAAGCCAACACTAGTCATGTATAATTAATTTATTCGTTATACATAAATTGTTTTGATCGCCAATTTGGATCCTTCTCAATACAAATATTTAATACTTAAGAAAAGTATTTGTCATATAAATATCATGAACATTATAATTTAAAATTATATAAACGGATTAATGCTGATTTCATTTTAATTGTCAAATTTTTTTCGTTCATTTTAATTGTCAAATTAAAAACTGAACTATTGATCAAATACAATTTTATATTAAATTTATATTCTCCCAGTCAAACTCATGGGAAAATTCTAATCTGTGCGCCGTGATGATCGAATACTGTGTTGTATTCCAATTAATATGATTTTTATGTTCATTGATACGTGCCTTAGGGATTCTCCCCATTTACCTCACATATGATGTGTCATAATTTTTATAATTTATTTTATATACTATATTATTATATTATGTGCTATAATAGAAAAATCATCTTTCTGAACTTGGATGACTTTTTTCAATTTATTTATGCTCTTATACGCCTTGCTTATTAATTGTTCTTTATTAAAAAAATTTTTTATCTTTTTAAAGATACTAAGTATGAAAGGTATCGTAAAAAATCTCCGTCTTTTAACTTCATTATTATTATCTGAATTCTGTTTATTATTATTGCTAGAATCGTTATTAGAATTGTTGTTAAATTGTATAAATTTTTTTCGTAATCTCTTGTTAATTATAGCTTAATAATGGTTATCCACATATGATTTTTTGCTATATAATAACTTTTTTAAAAAATTTTAATTCTTTTTTTAAAAAACAAGATACAAAAAGAGCATAAAGAACCACACCACAGGTTATAATTTGTGATATTTACTTATTATTATATAAATTAAAACATTAAACGTTTCCACAATCTGGCCATCTTCAGTAATACAATAGTCTTCATAAACCGCAAAAATACATTTAGTTGAAATTAAATTCAACAGTCCATTGTTGTAATAAAAATGACATGTTCTTTTTAGTGTGCAGATGCTTCGTATAAAATGTTATAACGCCCATAGTCATATCAAGAAGTGTAGAACAAGAATTTCCAGATTCTAATTAAATTTAAATTTATATGTCATTAATTTCTCCTATTCGAATATAAAGAATTATAATCGTTACCTGTTTTACAGCCAAAAAACTGAGCGAAGAATATCAAATGACACTTTCACACAATAAGACTTTCTTCGTGACATTATGTGTTGTTGTTTGTTATATCGCGTATTATACCACTATTTATACGCCTGAGTCAAACAAATTAGAAATTTCTAGAGTTATTATTGAACAGAAAAAGAAATCTTACTTAAGAAAAGGAAAATAAATATCTGGCAGACTTTCCGTGTCGCTTTGTTTATTGATACCTCTTATTTGTCTTTTTATGTGTATCATTTCGGAAATTCTTCTTTTTATTAAAGATTGTTCCTTGTCTAAAACTTTTATGTTTTCCCAATCTAACTCATGCATCTCGTTCAAACGGTGACGTGAAACCACTGAAATTTCGGAAGGTGATTTTCTTAAATCCGCTTTATGTTCTTTTATCCGAGTCTTTAATTTTCTTTTTGTTTGGCCTACATACGACGAATCACAATTTAAACATAACATTTGTTTAAATTGTGTCACCGTTTGAACGAGATGCATGAGTTAGATTGGGAAAACATAAAAGTTTTAGACAAGGAACAATCTTTAATAAAAAGAAGAATTTCCGAAATGATACACATAAAAAGACAAATAAGAGGTATCAATAAACAAAGCGACACGGAAAGTCTGCCAGATATTTATTTTCCTTTTCTTAAGTAAGATTTCTTTTTCTGTTCAATAATAACTCTAGAAATTTCTAATTTGTTTGACTCAGGCGTATAAATAGTGGTATAATACGCGATATAACAAACAATAACACATAATGTCACGAAGAAAGTCTTATTGTGTGAAAGTGTCATTTGATATTCTTCGCTCAGTTTTTTGGCTGTAAAACAGGTAACGATTATAATTCTTTATATTCGAATAGGAGAAATTAATGACATATAAATTTAAATTTAATTAGAATCTGGAAATTCTTATTCTACACTTCTTGATATGACTATGGGCGTTATAACATTTTGTACGAAGCATCTGCACACTAAAAAGAACATGCCATTTTTATTACAACAATGGACTGTTGAATTTAATTTCAACTAAATGTATTTTTGCGGTTTATGAAGACTATTGTATTACTGAAGATGGCCAGATTGTGGAAACGTTTAATGTTTTAATTTATATAATAATAAGTAAATATCACAAATTATAACCTGTGGTGTGGTTCTTTATGCTCTTTTTGTATCTTGTTTGTTAAATTGATAACCACGTGAAAAAAATTTTTTATCTTTTTTTAAACTAGAAACATACAGCTATAAGTTGTCAGATATTTTTTTCTTTCAAATTAGTTGTTTTATATTTCAAAATTTGTCAATATTTTACAAGTTTTCCAAAGTTTTTTGTTTGCGATTTGCATAAAACATTTTTATATGCATCGAAAAAATATTCTTAGTATTGTTGGAACGTTTCTAGGTTAAATGCCGCAAAACAGACCTCGATATCATTTTTTGTTTAGCTGGAAAGAATTTACTTCCGAAAAAAACTGTTTTATTTAAAAAATAGAGTAATGAAAAAAACAATGTAGCGTATCAAAATCCTACGGAAACATCTTTCAAAGCAGACTCCACCTAAATTTTGTCAGCTAATTATTTTGGAATTCTATTTACATCCATGAAATGTCGACTTTTCTTCGTACAATTAAGAATCTTGTCCATTAATTGCGAGCGATGTTTTTTCGACATTTATGAATATACATATGAGGATTAGGTGCATTTTATTTAATATGGGATAAGTTTTGTAAAGGAATTTTTATTAAAGCATCAATTATATGTATTCAGAATTGTAAGTTTTCACCCACTAACGATGGCTCAGTATGAATCGAAACGCTTGAAATATTTATATTGCATTTGAATTTGTCAATACATTAATTTTAATTGTACACTGATATCAGTTTGACTCATTGCCCTGTTTATTGCATTCTGAAATTTTTAATTCTCTAAGCTTTTAGATACTTTTTTATTTTTAATCATTAATTATTTGGATACTGTATAGTGAATTTGGTTCGAAGCTCTAGTATTAATTATTGAAACCATTATACACAAATTGATGTAAAGATGTGTTTAAGATAAATAGAAGTTAAGTGCGAAATAAATTTTTAAAATACTTTTAAACTTCTAATCAATATACATTTATGCTGTTAAGTAGCATATGTATTTTATAATATGAAATATTTGTATTTCATTATTACATTCAAATTAAAATGTATGACAGATTTAATATGCACCAATGTGCATTAGTGCCTTCAAATAAATTAACAGTTTTTTCTTTGATATTATTTCTTTTTCTGAAAAAAGTGGTCAAAAAGTTTATAGCGAAACAAACATGAGGCAGCATTTTCCTCGTTGAAATGTCTGATAGGGAAATTAAGCAAGGCCGATTTTTTGTAATAATGTTAAGAATTTGCGAAAATTTTTGGTTTCGCTCTTTTTTATTCTATGCCCTCCTTATAGTTCAGTATGATGAGATGGGAATCTCTTTAGTACTGCGTAATACAAATTATAAAAAGCATAGGAGCTAACAATCAGGATTCCCATAAGAGCCAATCCAAAAATCCAAGACAAGAGATTGCCATCTATCATATTAGAAGCTTCTTTCCTTTTCCGAGCACTGATCTCTCCTAGTGTAGTGCCCTTTCGCTCTATCATGAGCTTCTTCATATTGGCGAGCTTCTCTCGTAACTCATCTACAGATTCGGCAATCTCCTCGATCGATTCTCCCACGGGTAAATCTGCAATTTATGTAAGTACGATATCATATGAGAACAAGGCATTCTTGATTAAATAAATATATGGAACATACAACTTGCACACTTGGAAAAACTTGTAAACTATAAGTCGTATGAAAAACTTATATATACAAAAGTTGCATGACTTCCATTCTCAGTCCCATCCTTGTCTGTAGCGTGATTGACTTCTCTCATATGCCTGTGGTGCGCTGATTGTACACAGTCATAAGGGACCTACAGTTTAACGTTGATTCCGAACGACGATTTTGTTTAGAAAAAGTACTTGGCAAAGATACTTTCGGTGCTTTGCCATTGCCTATCGAGAGGAGTTACGAGCGTATGAAAATTTTTCGGTTCTGCCTGGGATCGAACCCGGGATCTCTGGTATAGCAGTATCGGACGCTGCCTGCTACGCTACACTAATGCATGATTTACATAGTGTATAAATTTTTTTATAAATAGAAAAGTTAAAAAGATTTTTAGGTCAATTTCATTAAAAAAAAATAAAATTATATGAATTTTTTTAGATAATATAATTTTAGATAAGATAATGTAATTTCTGTAACTATTTTGCACATAAAAGTATTATGATAAAGATTTCGAAAAATCAATGGTCTACGAGTTATTTTAAATTTTATTCCGCTACATAAAGTATTAAATATCTTGTATAGAATAATAAGATAAATCAATTAGTTCAAATAAAACACATAATTGTTTATTTAAAAAAATGATCCATTTTGCCCACATATTTTTTAAAGCAATTACGTGTTTTTTTTTTACACCAATTGATTCATCTTATTATTTTGTTTATAAAAGTATTAAGGTACAATTATAAAAAAATTAATAGTTTAATATTTTATGTCAATCGGAATAAGGTATAAAATATCTCGTAAATTATTGATTTTTAGATACTTTTATTTTTATAATATTTTTATATGCAGAAAAAAGAAAGAGGAATCATATAATGTAAAAAAATTCATATAATTTCATTAAAAAAAAATAAGGTTAATCTTGAAATTTTTTTAACGCTTCTATTTATAAAAATATTTATGCACTATGTAATGGCCCTCTCGAAGTAATGCAACGTTTGTATAACAGTTTTTCATACAACTTATAGTTTACAAGTTTTTCGAAGTGTGCAAGTTGTCTGCCTTATACTTTGTATGTATACAGAATATTTGTATGTATACAGAATATTTGAGACTATTTTCATGCAAATAGAACGGACGAACTGAATCAAAAAGTCCTGTACAACTATTTAATTTTTCGTAATAGTTAACGAGTTATTAATATTTGAAAATCAAATTATAAACAATGTTTCATGCCCTCAATTGTTGGCGGCTACATCTCGCCGTGCGCTTGCATTCGGTGACAGGTCGGGCTAATATGGTGAGTTTAATCAATTGATTAAATTTAATTCATTAACTATTGTGACAATGGAAAAATTGTAGACAACTTTTCGATTTTATCTGTATATGAAAACAGGATAAGACTTCCGTACTCCTATCCTACTCTTTAAATCTGAATCAGTGGATAATTACTGATATCGGTGCCAAATATGTCACTGGTAATCAATGAATGAAATGTCAGATCCCTAACTTAGCTGATCTTTATTATGTAATCTAACTAATCTTGTTTTAGTGCATAAATTCAATATAGTATTGGAAAATTGAAATTAACATGCACATATCAGTATTTTAGTTATATGTATAATGTACAAAATTTTTCCTTTTTTAATTAAATTTCACTGATTATCAGTGTCAAATATGCCATTGAGTAATTAGTGACTATCCATTGATTCAGATATAGAGAGTACCCAAATTCGATGAAATTTTACAGATATGTAATATCAACTAAATGTAATCAAATCCATAAATGCGGAAATGCTTAGTTTTCGAAGTATTCAAAATTTATTTAATCGACTTAATTAACATTTGATAAAACTTTTCTTTTACACAGTCAGCCCCAAATGACCTCCAACTGACCTTAACCCTCAAGAAGATCAAAGTCACTCGTTTTTCCGTCACTCGTTATTCATTAAAAAGTTATGAATAAAACAATTTGTATGAATAATATGTAATTTTCGAACACAAGGTACATATTTCAGCACTTTCCATTGACAACAGGAGGTGAGGGTAGATTTCGCTTCGCGTGAAAAGTCATGCGTCCCCAAGCAGGAGAGAAGTGGAGCCAAGTCGTTTTAGATGAAAGTTGCGCGTCTCCAAGCAGGGAAACTTCATTCCAGTGATATATAACTTTGTATAAACATTTCTTTGTATAAACATTAAATCTTTGTATCGGTGAAAATCCATTTAAGGGCATTTAGAGTGTTTCTGCCAAAATTTAAATTAAATGAAAATTGGAGGTATGATATTTTCGGAAATTCTCCCAAAATATTAATTAAATCACTCAAATAACATTTGAATATTTCGAAAACTAAACATTTTCTCAACTCCGCATTTATAAATTTGACTGCATTTAATTAATATTACATTTCTGTAAAATTTCATCAAAATCGGACTGACTGATATACGGAAGTTGAGCCGAAAATAATCTCGAATATTTTGAGAGACTATGTGTAATATATTGGTATAATTTTTTTCATAATTTTTCATAAAATTTTTCATAATTTATTACATCAACAATTTGTAAGTAATTACAAATGAAATTATAATATATAAATTTTTTAGATTTTTAAATATTTTCTGATAATTTTTTCTAACAACAAGAAATAAGAAATATAATTTCTCAGAACGATTCGATGAAAAATTTTTTAGACTTTCTAATATTTTCTTGTCTTTTTCCCAACAACAACAACAAATAAGAAATATCAGAGGGATATTAAAAAAGTTCGATTTTTGGTCCCTTTGCGGAACCTTCCTCCTCCTCCTCCGTCCATAATCCTCCGAAAAGATGTGGTGACTTTTATTACATGCCTGTGGTACGCACGCTGATTGCACACAGTCATGAAATACATTTATGTGACTTTAATCGAGCACAAATATTTTGGATCGGTCATTTTGAATTCGCCATCATTGATGTTTCCATTTAATTAATAGATTTGTAGTCACTTGTCAACTTGTCTTACAAAGCACTCTCAGATTCATTTTTGTAAAAAATTCGATTACTGCAATCTTACGTGTAAAACTGAATATTGGGCGCACTTTTAGATTTCCTATTTCCATAATTTGTCATGTTTAATAATCATTATGAGCGACCTTAAAACTTTTAAGTACCTATTATCATAAGAAACTTTTGCAATATATCAAATTCATGATAGGTTCTAGTGTGGTACGAAACTTCGATTTGCAAAAGGAGACACATATAATATAAAAAAAATGTATTTTCTCTGCATTTCTGGAGGATATAAAACTATTTTTATTATTTTTTCATGAATCTCAAATAATAACATTTTTGTGGTTAATTAAGGTTTCGACTCCGAACCTAGTTCCGAGACAAGGCGCCGAGCTTTCAACCTGATCAGCATCTTCCTGCATAAGTTAAAAAGCTTATTGGCTCATCCATAATCCTGAGACAATCAAGTGATTAGATAGCCTCGAGCCTTATAGGAATAAGCTGACATTATGTGGGGCGCCGGAATTCAAAACTTGAACTCGAAATAGTAGATCGCGAATCGAAACGCACAAGGCATCAAACTATCGACGCCCGACAGAAATTTGGGGAGTGGGGGTAGCCCTCATTTAGAAAAGGATGCATTCGGCCCAGTATGTTCTCTCTCGTGCATACGCGAAACGCACCTGGACCAATTTGAGTGCGTCTTTTTCTAAATAAGAACTACTTCTCGAATGCTCAGTTTAGAGATACTATGTCTATGGATAAAAGTTCGCATTGTATGCGTGGATGCAATGAGTTCCGCTCCCTCCCCTCCCTATGGGAGAGCTCTACTACCGAAAAAAAACTAACTTAATCCAACCCATTTTTTGATGTGAGGTGGCGTCATTTCGCGTGGAAGGTTGTAAATCCATGTAGATTTTTGCTTCGGGAATTTATAACTTTCCACGCGAAAATAAAGGAGCCCCTCCTCCTTCCGTAGGGGGACGGAACATGTATCCACATATACACTTTACAACATAAAGCGAGATTCTATAGGTTTACAATTTTCGTTAGCTATCGTTAATTTATTACATCTCCTAAACCAATGCCGTACCCTACTCAATTTTTGCAGGAAATCACTCAAGACACTCTCCTCTACAACATATCTAAAGGACACTTAAATCGCTGAGTTAAAATGCATATTTACCCTACATTTAATCTATAGTTTTATCTTTCTGTACTTTTAAATTTAATAAGTTGATTAACACATCTACAGCCTACTTAATTACAACAAGATACTTGGCAAACTCTAGACCACGTTACTTACCAACAAGCGCAGAAGACCTACGTGTGGTGTACAAAGCGGAAATACAGCAGCTTGAGTTCATACAATGGACTACAATTTTCCTTACTTCACACAATAAAAAAACGTGTCTAATAAGAGCCTGTCTCCCGATACTGTTTCCATTCGCCAAAGGTTCCAATTTTGCAGTAGTGCCTAACAGGTTCCAAAAGAAGAAATCAGAGTCAACAATCTACAAATTTCCTGCAAAGCAAGCAGACATCCTCTGTACACAGGTAGCTAATATATTCCGCAAAGCTAAGCGTCCAATATCACCGGATAAGAATGACTGGCACTTCAGGAACTAAACAAGAATATAAACATCATAGTACTCCCAACAGATAAAAACGCAACAGTAGTCATAAATATATCAGACTACAGAACAAAGATAGAGACCCTCTTTTTTGATGAAACATATATAAGGTTTAAGAGACCCAATAAACATGAAAAATTAGCATTTTAATAAAAAAAAGCTAGCTTCGCAGCAAAACTAAAGCAATATTGAAACCTACGAATTCTCTTCCACCAAAACTATATGATCTAAACATACATAAACTCAATATCTCTCTCAGACTAATTGTAATAAAATTTCCGACATGTGATCTCTCACATCTCCTAGCTCGCGAAGTACAACTTTTGATAGGAAGTCACATATCACTGACGAATTTCACATGGAAAATCCAAAAAGAAATCCGTTTGCATCCTGAAGATATATTGATAAGTTTCGATGTAGAGTCACTTTTCACCAACGTTCCAATAAAAAAACTATTATATTATAGATATAATTAAAATTTCACATTTCTTCCTCCTTCCATAATTCTCCAAAAGAACAAAATGACACCTCATTTCCGAATAAGTTCACCCCAAACCTCTCTCTTCTGAGCCAGTTGTTCCGTTTCGTGGAACCCAGTTGTCCTTTGAAATTTTAGAGAGTTCTGAGAAGCCCCGAAAAGGCCTCAAGCTCAATGAAGAAAAAAATCCAATCTGCACTTCCTCATGCGAAAAGATGGGTAATACTCAATCACTAACGCAGAGAGGCTAACGCAGCACCTATCACGGGCTAACGCAGAGAAGGACTGAATAAGTGTCGAAATAAACACTCTATTCAACCTCAGAACTGAGCAAGATATCTTGTTGTCTTTTGAAGGAGAAATCGTTCCTAAAGGTGAAAGAATCCACAGAGTTCTATTATAACACTAGTCTGATAACTCGTCCCTTTAACTGTTGCCAAAATGTATGTATTATATGCGCAAAATAAATACATTTGCATGCTGCGCATACTTTCTATATATTTTTGAACTAATCGCAAAAACGATAGATCATCTGACCTATTGGCATAGGTGTGTATTTCTGTGTGTGATGATTTTATTCTACGCGCAGGCAATACTTTTACATAAGGAAAAATGGGGAGTTAGCAGTAATAATGTAGTAATAGAAGTCTGTGGAAGAAATACTCAGTGGTCAATGACATCAGACTCAAGCAGACAACGGGAAATCACCTAATTATATATCCCATAAGCGTACCCATGAAGAAAACCTTCAGTGTCCAATAATATTATTCCTTTAATTGAGCACTACTTAACGACCACATTTTTCCTATAATAATCAACGTAATGGAATTCTACGAACAGATGTCTAGTCGTAGAATACGACCACTACCCAACACAAAAATAATCGGCAATACATTCACTTGAGCATAGAGCATTGAATATCTTTAATACAGAATATCTACAAACAGAACTCAACCACTTGAAACAAACCTTTCAGCAGAACAATAAAAAGAATGTGAACAGGACAATCGGTAAACATAGAAGCGGGACAAAGAACTCAGACACGTAGGAAAAATTGAACAAAAAAAGCCTGTCTATTCTTTCATATGTAAAAGAAATAACAAACCGAATCGACAGGATTTTGAACAAATACAGCAAACCATTTTCAAGTCTCCAACGAAGATCTTGAGCAAATCTTGAGCAAATCTTGAGAAATCCTAAAAATTAAAGACCTTTACTCAATTTCGCAGGAGTATACAAAATGTATCTTGCTCTTGCGAGAAAGTATACATCGATAAAACCGAAAGAATGATCAAGTGTGCATGAAGGAACATCAACGGGATATCAGATCGAAACATGCCACACAATCATATTTTCCAAGGAACAAAGAGATTTTGGAAACATTCAGACAATTTGAATAGAGACTCAGGTTAAAATAAGAAAGATATGGAAGACTGCTCTTTTGACAAGTCAAGGATGTCCCCTTCTTCCCTTTTTCAATATATCCTTATCCTCCTCAGTAGGATTTATATAAAGGGAGTTCACTGGAGGAGCAGTATAAATGTACTCCTCATCCTGATGAAGTGAACGGCAAGGTTCACAAAACATTGGTACGAAATGTTGGCATCCATTAGCAATAAAAATACGGCGGTAATTCGTATCTCATAAAATCCTTCTGGTATCTTTGAAGACAATACTCGTGAAAACTTAAAAAGTAAACGTTAACCTACTTAATTAATGACTTGTTAAAACACTCTGCTACACTTTCTGTAATATCATGTATATGAGGCATCACAAAAAATTTTATTTTGGAGTTGTTCTTATTTACATTACTGATCTCATTGTTTTTATTTAAATTATACGTTAAAAAATGTTTTAAGTCAGCGATTTACAGTCTTCATTGCAAATTAATTTTAATGGCTAGCCATTGTCTAACAAAGCTCAATACATAATTCGAAATTCTCACTCTGAAAAGTTAGATGAGATAACAAAATCGCTACAAGATTATAAATTGTTCCAGTCTTATGTCATAATGATTCGAAATATATGATAAATCTCTTCCTGAAAATGTCCTTTTTACTCGAATTGAGTTTTTTATATAAATATATTTTATTGATATAAATTGTTGGCTTTATAACTGCTGTTTAATATTGTTCAGATTCTTATCTCACACACCCACACACACACACACACACACACACACTCAATTGATGACTTCACAGAAATTTTAAATTTTGACTCTACTTTTTTGCCATTGAATAAAAAAATAAAAGTAACAAAGAATAACATAGGATAATGTAGTAAAATCATAAAAAAAATTATTATACAGAATAGTGAATTAGAATCTTAAGGATGTTTTATTACATACTTTCAAAACGATAACAAAATGAAAAAATTACAGATTATTCTAAATCACGTTTAAAGATAATATGACAAATTTGGTGAAGGTTTACTATCTGAATCATAAGTTATTTTAATAAACAGTATTTTTTAAATTTGTGCTCTAATAAAAATATATGGAAATATACAAGTATTATATAAAATAAATCATAAAAATCTCAATTTTTTAATATAAGTACATTATATATTCAAGATTATTTATGTAGAGTTGTGATGCAGGAACTAGTTGTCTAGTAAATAAACAAAATATTTATTTTTGTTCTATATATATTGTTCTCTATATATTGTTCTTTGTAACTAATTAGTGAATCACAATGAAACTACTTTTTCATAAAGTATTTTGAATTTATAGTACTTATAAAAGAAAAAATTCTTTTACTTATAAATTCTTTTATCATTTTTAAAAATTTTTATTTCTAACAATAAAAATAACAAATAGAATAAATAAACTAAAAATGTGTTATTAAACAAAAATATTATCTTATTCACAACTTTCATATGTGTATAGTTTATTTGAAATATAAACACACAATAAATATTAAACACATTTCCAAATTTAATTTTCTTTGTAGGGATTGTACGTGTAATACATTTTTAAAAAGAAATTGATCCAGCATTAATTTTTAATAAAAGTATGAATGGAATTTAAATACTAGAAATTCATTTGGACTTTTGTAATACTTTGAAAAAGAACCCGGAAAAAATGTTTCATATATAATTATATATAATTATATAAAAAATTGATAATTATCATTTATAATTATATATAAAATATGTCCATATGCATAACATTTTTTTCCGGAAATGTATAATATTTTACTTTTAAATTTTCACTATAATTAATCTTTACGTTCTGATCCCGATAAAAAATTTTTCGCTAATGTAAAATATTTTAATATAAAACATTTCATAAACAAACATTTTAACTTTCTAAGAGGTCTTTCTCAACTTTAAAATAAGTATTAAAGTCAATTTTAAACTAAACGTTAAAAATACATATTTTTAATTAGACGCTTATTAATAATAAATTAATCTCTCCATTTCGATAAGTAACTGTATATTGTACATGAGTTGTCAATCGAACCGTTTCACTACTGGACTTCTTAGTTAAAATAATATTGTTAAACGTTTTAAATTCAAATCAACTGATGTGTTCAATGAAATGTTAATTTATTGTTAATAAGCATCTAATTAAAAATATGTATTTTTACTGTTTAGTTTAAAATTGACTTTATTATGTATTTTAACATTGGGAAGACTCTCCTAGAAAGTCGAAAAGTTTGTTTATAAAATGTTTTACATTAAAATATCAGCAATAATAACTTGCTTTGGCTCATAGCCTTTTTATTTATTAATATTAATCATTTTGAACCAAATTATAATATTTATTATTTTTCTAGAAGATCAAGCAATTGAAGTAATCTGAATTATTTTACTCTTATCATATATTTATCTTAATTTTTATTTAAAAAAATTATTATACCCCTGAACTATATTATTCTGTAAAAGAAATTTTATATATTTTATATTTTTATCTCCGTTTAATTAACATCTATAATTCTGATTTATCTTATAAGATTTATAGCAAATACAATGACTATTCTTTATGCAATGTTTTATGCGGAGGACATTGGAGAGAGAGAGAGAGAGAGAGAGAGAGAGAGAGAGAGAGAGAGAAAGAGAGAGAGAGAGAGTGTGTCGTCTCGAATGATATGAGCATCATCATTTCCTGATTTTCTAAATATTTAAATAGTTGACGTAAAAATAGAAAAATATTCTGACTCACCATCGATATTTGGCGCACAAGTGTGTCTTTCAGTTTTCATGATGTTAGATGACACGCAGTTTCTCGATTCCGCTTTTTGGTCCGGAGCATGACAGTATTGATTATACAGCATCCCTCAATGTAGCGCAGTCTCTGTGTACCATACAACTAAGATTACCCAATTGCTGCCACGGCCTGCCATTGGATGACTAAATCTCGCGCGATATCTAATTTCGATTTGATTCCAAGTAGCACATAATGCCTATAAAGCATTTAAAAAGTGCTAAAAAATGTATATAAAAAAACGGCACGTGTAAGGGTGGTCATCATTTTAATAATTTTTTTAATTTAATCAGGATATCACCAAAGGTGATTTAATATCTCAAAAAAATAAAACCAGAATTTTTTCAGACTTTTTTGAACAATTTTAATACGTGTCTACGAGACATGGATAGGAAAATACATCTTTGTAGACAAAATTCAGCCAATGCTCTAATTCTCTTAATCAATTTTAAAGTTCTTTTTAATTTGTTCGAAATTGAAGCTAAAAGCCCATTCTGTATAAATTTTAATTACGGTCCAAATTAAAAATGGCCGATCTAATATTCGTTATCATATAATATTGACTTTTTTGCTCACTTCATTGAATTGATCACTTTAAGTGGCTATAGTTCATTCAATTTCGAGCAAATTAAAAAAACTTTAAATTGATTAAGAATTAGAGTATCAGCCAAATTTTTCCGCCCATTGTGAAGAGTCTAAAAAAAGCTCTGCAAATTAAGTTTTTTGTTGAAAAAAAAAAAGTGCAAATCGATGTTAAATCGACATCGATGCTAAATCGCAGTATTAAAAATAGATATATGTGATAAAATGCATTACGCATTTGCATCTTGCATATCTATTTTTGATACCGCAATTTAACACTGACTTCACATCTATTTTTCAAAAACTTAGCTGCAAAGCCTTTCTAAATGTTAAGATTCTGCATAGTAGACAAAGAAATGAGCTAAAAGCATTCTGTATAAATTTTAATTATGGTTTAAAATAAAAATGGCGATTCAATGAAATGAGCAAAAAAAAAATTAAAATTAAAATTATATGATAACGAATATTGAATTGCGCACAGTTATTTTTAATTTAGATCGTAATCAAAATTTTCGCAGAATGGACTTATAGTTCATTCAATTTATAGCTTATTTAATTTCGAGCAAATTAAAAAAAAACTTTAAAATTGGTTAAGAATTAGAGCATCGGCCGAATTTTGTCCACAAAAGTATTTTTCCGCTTATCTGTGCTAATGGCATGAATTAAAATTGTCTAAAAAAAATCTGAAAAAATTATGATGTTATTTTGTTGAAATATTGAACTTTAGGTAGTCCCGTTTAAATTTAAAAATTTAAAATAATCATATTTTGTAAATATTATTGCGGTCTTAGATTATATCGATTATGAAGATTTATCATATTTATTATGAAATATTTATCGTAAATATTGTGGTAAATATTATAAAAAATATTTAATAGAACATTATAATCCTGGTAAAAAAATTAATTAATCCAATTTTATTACTAAAACAAGTATTATTGATTTCATATTCCAGAATAAACACGATAAAATTACCTACGTAGCACAGCAGTGCTTATAAAGCACTAAAAAAGTGCTTATGCATGTTTCTAGCAGTTTTTTAGTGCTTTAAAAGCGCTTTCAAAATTCACTCTGAAAAGCACACATAAGCGCATATAATTGGCGCAGAACATGCAGTTTCGTAGTACGTTAACAGTACCTTTTATATAGCACAATAGCGTCTGCAAAACGCTCAGAAAACGCTGTAAAAGCGTATACAATCAGCGCAGGATAAATGCAGTTTTATAGCATTTCCCGCGTAGCACAGCAGCGCTTGCAAAGCGCGCTCAGAAAGTGCTGTAAAAACACTATGAAGCTGCGCTTTGCAGGCGTTGCTGCATGGAATTTACTCTCCAGATATTAAAGTGAAAGAATTTGCGAAGATTGAAAATAACAATGGCTGCAATTGTTTTATGAGATATTATTACAAACATGTAAATAATAACATAATAATTATTTATACTAATTATTTCGATAATTGTAATAACATTAATTACAATAACATTTTCGATTATTATAATAATACTACATGTAATAATTCTGGGTGCTTTCTATCTACGATAGCAATCACTTCATCCTTGTTTAATATTGGCGAACAATAAGGATGTAACCATTTGCCGTGTCACTTCTATGTCTTTTGTTGGATAATAATTTTATGTGTAGATACAATTTTTTACATTAAAATGATCCAGATGACTTATATACGTATTTCTTATTTCATACTTTATGTATAAAATGAAAATACTCTAAAGCGCCAATCGAAAATTAACAATCATAACCAAAGTGTTTGACTATGTTTTTCTGCTGTATCTAATCGTGCCGTGGCGTGTCATTGTTGGAAAGCACCGTGTCCGACGCTACGTCAATGTGTATCCAGTGATGCGAATTTCAGGACGCTTGCAGCATAGTTACTAGCATAAAGGGAGCATAAAAACATACATACACTACAATGAGTCCATATTCGTGTATGCTTGCGCATGCGTTGTGTATCCGTCTATGCTCTCTTCATGCTAATAACCGTGCTGCAAGCAGCCCGGAATTCACATCACTGCACCCGGTGTCTGGACGGGCTTCGCCATTTTCGCGGACATTGCATTACTTTTAGTTCTTGTATCTCTCATAACGTATCTCTCCATTCAATATATTGTATTGTATTGTATATGGGAGGCAAGAGTCACAAACCAATAAGAAGAAGAAGACGGCATGACGGCTGTGACGCGCATGGCGCAAATTATGCAAGAAAGATAAAATGTCAATCTCGTAATCGAGGAATTGTCTAGGTATTCGCCATCGAGGAATTAAGTGTCTAGGTGTTTGCATGCCATGAGGAATTGAGTGTTCAGATGTTTGCTGCCAAAGAAGTAAGTGTCTAGGTTATCCAGAACACATTCTACATGAGTAAGATTACGGTCGCCTTCGGATACTTCAAATCAAATTTTAATTGATTGATAAAAATACATTCAATCGATGTGTTTTCGCATAAAAATAAAGGCTTGACAAGAAAAAAGTGTTGCTCTGTCTCGTGAACCGTGATGATAGTCATTGAAGTCAATGATTATTCAAGTTAGGAAGTCTGTCATAGCCATAAAATACTGCAATGCAAGCATACACTGCAGACACTGCGGTAAAATTTTTATTTCTCTGTTTTAAAATATAAGAAAGTAACTTGTATTTTTAAAATCGAAAATATGTTTTAAAGCAGAGAATTTCACAATATTTCGTGGCTGACAGAACTTTTAATCTGAATAATATTCGACTTTAACGATTAATATCTCGGTTTACGAGGCAGAGTTTTATTAAAAGTAAAATTCTTACTTTGGATGAGCAGGTAGTTAAAGAAAAGAAATAAACGATCGTTCGAAGTATATGATTTTTTTAACTCTTAATTCTCGCAATTTTCTCTGAAAGTTGGAAAATAGAATCGCACATATACTATTTAGACAATACAATTTGCGTTAAAATTCATAACATTGCGTTTATATTAGGTGTTGGAATTAATTCGTAGCGTTTTACAAGTGATGGGAAGTACTTTCATTAATGTATTTTTTAATGCTCATGTGAAATAAATAACATTCTTTCATTAAAAAACGCTACGAATTAATTCCAACACCTAATAAATTAGAATTAGAATTAGATGCGGAAAGCTACATAAAATTATACAAAATTAAAAATACATTTTTCTATAGAAACGGAACAATATCCTTCAAAACGAAAGAGAAATTTTTATAAGTTATATTATCAAATTTCTCTAAGTTATATATTTAATACAGGAAAATCTATTTCTTGAAGTCACTTATAAGGTAAATTGTTTATAAAAGTCTACAAAATGCATGATATTAGTACAAACTTATCTTTTTAAAAAAAGTAAAAAAAGGCGCTAAGCATACATGCTTCTCAAATAAGACCTAAGTATCCAACCCAATTAATAGTAGTTTTAATTTTTCTTCAAAGATGTTCTTATTGAAGGTCTTTTTAATTTTTATTCCAACCTAAATAATAGCAATTTCTGTGTCAAATTCTGTGTCAAAAATTACTACTCCTTGAAAAAAAACTAATGTATTAAATTAAAAATTAGAATACAAATGCTACAATCTTAACTAATCAAGTTAAATTTTATCAAATTAAAAAGTAAAACGCAAGTGGTACTTTTGTTACTTAACATAACATTAATGTATCATTGGTATAAAAGATTTGATATCAACACAACTGGCACCAAGTTAAGTTCCACAAAATTTTATATATCATTCATAAAAAAGATTTGATATCAACAATTGGCGCGAAGTTAATCCCATGTAATTCGAATACCAAATTAAATAAATAATATCAACTGTAATGATATGTTATATTATTCGTATAAAAAATTTGATATCAACAACTAACGCCAACTTAAATCTCATACCAAAGTAAGTAAAGAATATAAATAACACAATTATGAATTGTATTCTTTACTTAATTTGATATGACATTAGTTGTTGATATCAAATCTTTTATACGAATAATACAGATTATTAAAGTTAAATTACATGGGATTTAACTTCGCACTAATTGTTGATATTAAATCTTTTTTACGAATGATATATAAAATTATGTGGAATTTAATTTGGCGCCAGTTTTGTTGATATCAAATCTTTTTTACGAATGATACATATCATTAGAGTTAAGTAACAAAAGATAGTACCATTTGCGTTTTATGTTAGGGAATTGGTGGAAGTGCCCAACTCGTCAGGAAACTATTTGTAATAAGGTTGACCCTTCTATCACTATCCCGCGAGGGAGAGAACAGAGACATGGCGGCACGGAGCGATGTGCATTATCCAATAAACCATATATTATCTCACAGTGAGATATTATCATTCAGTATTCTCATAAAATACCTATTCCCACATAACATGATGCAGTCAGTAGAAAGCAGAATGTCCTAAATGCGAACTTGCTACAAACTACGGATCAAACTACTGGGGAAAAGTATGTGTTTGTAATGTCGGATAACGGCTAGACGACATAATGGAATTCCTGAAACCATAGTCAATGGACTGGGGAGGTGATCAGACTCTAAATTGGAAAAGATTTAAGAAGAGTTTCAATTTATATTTAATAGCGACGGGCGCAGATAAAAAACCAGAAATCAAAGAAGAAATCAAAGTAGTCTCTAAACTAATGCACTGTCTAGGTAAACAAGTGATTGACGTAATAGATACACTAGGACTGGCAGAAAAGGAGCTAAAATCAATGGATACGATTATCGCAAAACTTGATGCCAATTTTATTTTATATCAAAAACGAATGAAAGTATGGAAAGACACAAATTGAATGTAAGAACGCAAGGGCCAACTGAATCATTCAATAATTTCTTATAAGATCTCAGAAACAATAGCAGCGTTTTGCAACTTTGGAAGCATGAAAGATGATTTAATCAAGGATAGAATTTTATGTGGCATTGCATATACAATACAAAAGTAAAGGACAGGTTGTCAAGAGAAGACTGAATTTAGACAAAGTAATAAAAATGTGTCGAGCAGTTGAATGCACCGAGAGTCACTTAAAAAATCTATACGATGAACAAAAAGTTGAAATTGGCGCTGTTGGCACATCAGGACTAAAACAACAAAAGCGGCAAAAGCGGTAAAGGAGCAGAAAAACATGGTAGCAATAGAAATCCGAGACGATTTGGTAATAGTGATGGTGGGCAAAGCAACAACTGGCAACAAAGCAGTACACAAGGAGGATAGAAATAAATTCCTTGACGACAAGGATGTCAGCAAGGAAGAAGGAATAACAACGCTAAGCAATCAGCAGCAAACAAGTGTGTAAGATGTGGATTAGAGTGGCATGATTATAATTCATGCTCAGCAGAAATGTATGAACTGTAGGAAAATAGGACACTATGCAAGGGTATGTAGGAATACGAAGTAAATAAATGTTGATAACACTAACAACAGGATAGTGACAGCAAGTTAGAATTGTATGAATTAGGATTAATTAGAGTTTAATAATAAAAAAGAGACATATATGCTAGGGAGAACAGAATAGCGAAGATGATTGATATATCAAAATGTATTTAACGGAAATTAACAAGACAGTAACATTTAAATTAGACTCAGGAGCACAAGCGAATGCAATCCTGGAATATTTATTTAAAAGACTAGACTTCAATGCACACATTAGAACCATGCATGAATAAAGCCACTAGTTACTTAGGGAGTTCATTGGAAAATGTACCTTAGGAATAAAATATAAAGGAAAAAGTCACATCTTGAGATTTTTGATAGTTAAGACAAAACCAGGGACTGAAATGGTGTTTAGGGATTAAAACTATCAAAGTTCTGAATCTTGCAGTACTAGTAGAAGCAATCAATGAGAGCAAGCGTGATTTAGTAATTGAGTTTAAGGATTTGTTCAAGGGAATAGGACGAATAAAAACGGAACCGATAGACATCAAATTAAAACAAAATTATAAAGATTATGCGTTTCGCGGGTTTCCTCCGTGTCCAAATCCTTGGAATGCCAACGTTTCGTGAATCTTGCAGTTCACTTTATCAGGGCGAAGAGCAACTTGATATTTTAGGGCTCAAGTGGACTATTTCAAGAATGAATCTAGACATGGAAACCCGCGAAACGCAAAATCTTTATGTAGAAAGCACCCGTGGAAGCCTCACGAATATTAAAACAAAATTATGAAACTATTGTGGCACCCTGTCGAAAATTCCTTCCTTTCCGCATTATAGACAAACTTAAAGAGAAATTAGATAAGATGTGTAGTGACGATATAGCAGTAACAAAATCCACGGAATATGTTAATCCTATTGTAATCGTTAAAAAACCGAATGATAAAATTCGGATCTGTTTGGATCCACTAAATGACAATATTCTAAGAAAGCACTATGAATTACCAAGAATTTTGATGAATTAATAAGAGAAATGGCAGGCAGTAAATATTTTTCAGTGCTAGATGCCAACAAAAGAATTTTGGCAAATAGAATTGACAGAATTAGTGTCTAAATTAACAACGTTCGCAACTCCATTTGGGAAGTATAAATTTCTAATATTACCTTACGGGACCTCTAATGCATCAGAAATTTTTCATAGAATTTTTTCACAATTATTTGAGGGAATCTCAAGGTGTACTATTTACATAGACGATATAATTATTCACACAAAAACTCGTGAAGAACATGACAAAGTATTATTAAAAAAGTTTTAGAAAAAGTTAGAAAGTGTGGGATAAAGTTTAACAAAAATAAATGTAAATTCTACCAGACCAAGGTTAAATACACAGACGCAATGTCATGGTTTATTTCGAGCTATAATTAAATTAACTTAAAATTAATATAATTAACAAATTGTTAATTATATTAATTTTAAGTTAATTTCTAAGATTACCTCACGGGATCTCTAATGCATCAGAAATTTTTCAAAGAATTTTTTCATAATTATTTGAGGAAATCCCAGGGTGTACTATTTACATTGTGTTAAATTTTTAAGAAAATATACGATCATTTTTTACTCCATTTTAAATATACAGGTCATATGTTTGCAGAAAAAGGCATTAGCCTGAATCCAAACAAAGTCGAAACAATCAGGCAGATAAAAACACTAAAATACGCGAAAGAATTGAATAGATTCATGGGCATGATAGAGTACGTAAGTCGATTTATTTCCAACTTAGCACAAAGAACAACAAATATGCGACAACTAATGAAACATGAGTGGCTATGGATGAATAACCACGAAAAAGAATTTAATAATCTTAAAAAAGCGTTAACGAAAAGTTCAATCTTACAATTTTTTGACAGTAATGCGGAAATTATTCTGTCGGTTGATAGTTCGAAGGATGGTATGAAGACAGTGATTTTGCAGAATCAAGCACCCATAGCGTATGCGTCAAAACTCTGACAGAATGTCAGCAAGGATATGCTCAAATTGAAAAGGAAATACTGGCAATCATTTTTGGATGCCAAAAATTTCATCAGTACTTATACGGGAAAAATTTTATAGTTGGAACAGACCATAAACCACTAGAAATAATTTTCAAGAAACCTTAAGCAAGTGCCCGTTAAGGTTACAAAGACTTAGAATTACACTAAGAAATACGATATTAAAGTCTGCTATAAGTTCAGGAAAACACTTATACTTTGATGACGCTCTCTCAAGAGCACACTGATGTAAAGATTGCGCAATCGATGAAAGTGTCATTCAAGCACAAATCAGTTTAATATAATTGAGTAATAGCATCAGTTCAAAAAAGAAAGAAATTATTGTTGCGGAAACTAATATAGATTCAGAGTTAACCCAGCAAACGAAAATGGATTAAAATGAATTAAAATGGATTCAGATTTTCAGAAATATTGATTCACGAATGTTAAAATGAATACTTTTCAATCCTGAATGTATTTTTATTCATTTATAAGAATTGCAGAATGGAGCATATCTCTATGCCTTTCAATCTAAAAATAATATTAGTTTTTTCTGTGCACAACACAGACATTGTGAATACTGTTCAATTCAAAATTTTGAATAGGAAATGCATTTTTTCAATCGAATTGTATCCAATTAAATTAAAAAAAAAATATTTGCTATTTAAAATACGCATTCGGATAGAAAAAAATTTCAATCCATTTTAATCCATCTCATTTACTGAGTTAATAAAAATTACAATGAATTAAGCGAATATAATTTTTTTAAATGAATACAAAAATGTGTCACTATATGTTCCGCTTTTTCGCGAAAATTGCTGCTGAAAATGTAAGGGCGCGTTCATACATTTAACGGAAAGCAGAAAAGCAGTGACCAATCAGAATTCACGCTGATAAATAGTTCTAAAAGCCGAAATTGTAGACTACCAGCTAGAGTTTTGATTGGCTATTGCCTTTCCGTCAAGATGTGAACACGCCCTAATATTAAGAGACCGAAACAGGCGCGAAAAGGCGGAAATTTAATAAAGTTTAGTTAATTTTGTTTTCCACGTTTCATATAATGGCATCCTGATTCATCGTGTTGATTCCGCGAGTTCCGTTCCGTTGTCAATTTCCGCTCTTTGGGATGGCACTCTGATCAAATCAATTGCGATACTTCATAGATCTAGTGACTTTACTTTCAGCGTCCCATGAAATGGTACCTTTACAGTTGGCTACGTGTGAAAATAATACAAGGCTCTGATGTAAGATGGCATAAAGTGCTACAGCAATTTTCGTGCGGAGGTCCTGGAAGGAACATGGCGATGGTGATTTCATAGTATTAGTTGCATTTTTGATTTCGATTGTTTCAACCTCAAAACACGTGTACAGATTTCATCACATACGATCGAAAGTGATTTTTAATTATTCGATAAATCGGAAACAAACGCGCAACGCAATGAGCTTCTTCAGCAAAGTGTTTGGTGGGAAGAAGGAACCAACTGCTCCTTCAACAGCCGAAGCAATTCAGAAGTTACGCGAAACTGAGGATATGTTGATAAAGAAACAGGAGTTTTTGGAGAGCAAAATTGACAATGAAATATTAATAGCGAAGAAGAATGCGTCGAAGAACAAGCGAGGTATAACTCGCAGACTTTCCACGATTTTTGTATTTCGTATTCAATTAATTTTACAATTGTATTTGACTTTTACAGTTCAACTGTTAGGCTAATTTTACAATGTGCTTTTTGTTTTCTGTTTCTTGCTGTTCATCTCTTGTCTTACTAACCAAAAAGGCAAGAGACAAATAGAGACAAACCGCAAAAAACAGAAAACAAAGAGCACATTGTAGAATTAGCCTTAGTTTGATTGGAATTGTCTTTTATTTGCAGTCTATGGCTAGTATTACATTTATTGTATGATGAAGCATTTCAAACCTATTAATTGGCTGCAAAAAAAAAGAGTTTGTTGGATGTCTCTATCCTGTAGTCAGTCAATCAACTTACAATCTTGTATGACAAATGTAATAGTACTCATGTTGAATTGTATGTTTTGTCTTTACAAGAAGATTAAACTGACGAAATTTTGAAATGCAATTTGTTTCAAAAAATTATCTATTTAAAAAGTCCTAAATTCTGGCTTCAAATACTTTTTTTTCCAAAAATTAACAAATATAAATGTTTTGAAATTATTGAATTGATTAATTACTGGATAAATGACAGATTTTAAGAAAAAGAAGAAAAAATATTACGTATTGTAATATTCCAGAACAATTGAATATTTCTAATGTATATGCAGTATAAATAGTTTTTGGATTAATTTCACTATTATTTTGATAGTGCAACAAATAGCATTGGATGCATTGTGTTTCATGCATGATACACATAATGTATCATTTTATCTTTCTTTATATATTTGATGCACAACAATGATATATTGTGTGCATCACATATGAAATGGAACACATACATGATTGACACTTACATGAGCAACTAGTTTACATTAATTTGAACTATATTTATATCTTCAAAGTTTTAGAAGTAATTTAATAAATATAAACAGTATATAAGTAAGAGGAGCATACAGCCACAACATAAAGTATTTTAAAGCAAATGTCATATATTTTAAATATTTATGTCATATAAAATTCATAAATGTTTCAGCTACTGGCCATTTTCAGTATGTCAGTAAAATTATATAATTAAAAGAGTAAAAAGAATACGAATATAATTTTTTAAAAACATTGTCATAGAATTTAAGCTGTAATTGTCATATGAATTCGCGATAGAAGTCAGATTATAAAATATTAATTGGTTATAATTTAAGAATTTTAATAATCTTGATAAATTATTGATACTTTGATCTACAATATTTACACATTTTATGATCATAATTTATGATCATGATCATATTTATATGATTGAATAAATATTTGAAATATATGACATTCGCTGAAAACATCTTGCATTGTGGCTGAATGCTCTTCTTAACTGCTCTTGTATTTACATTATCAAAGAAAGTCAATTAGATTGAAACATTTATGATATATGATTTAATTTTTTTGTTTTTCCCTGTAATTCTACTACCAAAAATGTCAAAATGATTACTTAATCCAATGATATTAAAATGTTTATACATATTAATTTTTCAAAAAAAAAAAAAAAAAAATCAGTATCTAAAGCTAAAAGTTTCGAAATTCTTAATATGAATATACAGAACCATTTTTTGCAGTAAACTGCATTTTATTTTTAGAATTTTTTCTAAATTTTTGTTTGATAATATTTATATTTAGTATCATTTAAGTATAATTTAACCCTTGTTACTTATGAAAAATTATATGAAGATAAATCACTGATTATCCAAAATGTATTTATAAACTTTATTAAAGCATTAATAGAGATTACATTTATATTATTTTTTAATATATTCTTGCTTGTTAATATGCATCAATATTCCATAAGTTTGTTTATACTATCAGAAAAAATGTTTTTTTATTGACGAGGATGCTGGCATGTAATATGGGAGATCTGAGTTTGAATCCTCGTTAAGGTAATATTTTTGGCAATAAATTAAATTATTTACGGTTCTTAAGATGATTATATTAACATCAAATTATTAATATCTTTCTAAGATGCTTGTTAGTATCAAAATTATTAAATTATCAATTTAATATGTGATATTACTTTAGTTCTGTTCTTTTGTTGATTTTATTTTATATATATATATATATATAAATTCTGTGTGAAATATTTAAGTATGTATTAAAAGATTCGCTTTGATCGAAAATAAATATAATATATTTCTCTTAATTGATCTTATCAATCTAATATAAATTATAATTGTTTTTTTTTTAATTTCTCGGTATCATTTTTTCACATTTTGATCAGTAATGCTAAAACAATAACTTCTTAAAACATCTTTAATTGAACTAAATAGTAATTCAAGGAAATGAGTGATTATAATCTGTTTGATTTATTCAAAAATATATTAATATTACAATTTACTACTGATTAAAATACGAAAGAAGTGATGCATATATAAGCTATGTGACTAAACTAATCAATATTTTTTTACTGAAAACATAGACTTATGAATACTGAGTCAAGTAAATTGAAAAGCTAAAGGATTATATTGAAAAATAAGATAAATGTAAATCTATTGATGCTTCAATATAATTTTATAAATACATTCCAGATTATTATTGGTGATCATCGTATTTAAATATCCAGATTTGTCAATAGAATATCAACAAAAATATAATAAAATCTGCTGACAAAAATATAATGATAGATTTACTGCAGAACTAAACAGAATCTGCTATTTCGTAATTGAATGAACATTTTAATTATTAATAGTGAATTATGAAATGATAAGTCCTGCTTGATTTCTGTTAATGAAATTATGTCAATGGACTCTGAGAAGAACACAAGTTCAATATAAAAATCTGCAATTCTCAAATCTATTAATAAACTGTTAGCATATTGTTAACAATTCGCATAAATTGTTAACATTTCGCGTATTGCATATGTGATTAAGCATTAAGAATAGTATATATATATATTATAGCTGCTATCCAAGCGTTGAAAAGAAAAAAGCGATATGAGAAGCAATTACAACAAATTGATGGCACATTATCTACAATTGAAATGCAAAGAGAAGCACTAGAAAGTGCAAATACAAATACTGCCGTTCTTACTACTATGAAAGGAGCTGCAGACGCAATGAAAGCTGCACATCAACATATGTAAGATTTTCGCGTTTTTACAATTGCTAATAATTAGCTGCTTAACTCTTTGTAGCATAGTGTGCCTGTAGAAGCATCTTTCTCGCTACAGTTTTTGTATTTTTTTTACAGATTTGACTTATATTACATACTTGATAATTGTTTATATTAATATTTGGTATCGTTATGTTTCTCGTTATATTTATTGGTATTTGATGTCATGTTTCGAGGATATTTAAAGTTTTACATTAAGTATAAATTATAAATGAAAGATCAGTAAAAAAGTTAGCATTATTTTTTAATACAAAATTCCAGTTTGGGACGAAAATGATAAAAACATACCTTCAAAATCTCTATGTTAATGTTTTCTAGATCGCTAATTTCAAATCTGCATTCATAATTGGCAAATTTTTAATGGTAGATCCAAAATGGTAGTCAAAATGATTATCAAGACATGTTGAATTCTGATATTAATAAAATATAAATTCTTTACATTTTTAAGACTCTCAATATTCTTTATAATTTTTTAATATTCTTACGTATAAAATTTTACTTGCAAATATATAATAGTAGTATAGTTATTTTTTTTAAATTTAGCTACTATATTAAATTCATTAATTTGTTTTTTCTAATTTTGATTTAAGATTTATAATCAAAAACCCTATATATTATAATTCAGCAAAATACATTTGATAGAAAAATTTGTGCAACAAAGAGTTAATGTAATTTTTGGATTGTTTGAGATTAGTATTTATAATCCGTTTTTATCTTAAGAAACTATCTTAAATATAAGAATCGACCATGAATATTGGTCTGAGTAATATTGTTAGTACAATTGTATTGTTAGTACAATATAAACATGTTAGGCACAACAAAATTGTCTCTTTAAATAGAAATAAGAATGTAATTTACTTATTAAATAATTTCATATTTATATTGTAATTATATATTTTCATGTTATATTTATATTATAGGGATGTTGATCAAGTACACGATATGATGGATGACATAGCAGAACAACAAGATGTGGCTAGAGAAATTTCAGATGCTATATCTAATCCAGTAGCATTTGGCCAAGATGCTGATGAAGACGAGTTAGAGAAGGAGCTAGAAGAACTTCAACAAGAACAACTTGACAAAGAATTACTTGGTATCGATACAACGACAGATGAATTACCGGCGGTACCAACTTCAGTTCCTGTTGCGCCAAGCAAAACTCGTACAAGTAACTATTACTATAATATAAATTTTTTATATATTATAAAAATGTTTTAAACAATTTGATATTGTGTCAAATATATAAAAAACATTAATATGTTTATCATATTAAATCATGATCTTACAATAACATAACATTGATATTTTATTTATAGAAGCTAAACCAGAAGAAGACGACGACTTGAAAGAGTTAGAAGCATGGGCATCTTAAAGTGTTATTAGAAGTAATAAAATCAAAGATATAAAACGTTTTCAGATAAATTTAAATTATGGCTAGTATTCATGGTCTGATTTTATACACAAGACCGTCTTAAGTATAGTCTTAAGATGTTATAAACGATCAAAGAGTCATATTAGCATTTTAAGACATTACTTAAAACATTACTTAAAATAAGGAACTATGAATACTGACCTATATATTGTTATTATGCATAAATTGCTATATTTTACTTTGCATTAAATATAATTAATTAAATTAATTTTATAAAATTTGTCCGTAATATTAAGCAGTTTTTTTAACAAAATTACTGAAGTTAATAAGCTTGATTAATTTACATTGATTATATTTTTATGCTGTGGTAAATATTACTAATAAGTGAATAGAACAAAAATTGCTTATACAATCGGTGGTAGAGAGAAAAAATAGCTTTGTTTTATATTTAAATAACATGTTTTATATTTACATAAATATTACATTAAACGTATATTGCTAATTAATAAACGGATAAAATTTAGGAGACAACAATGAATATCAGTTCATGTAACATACAAATATTGTATACTGAATGTAAAAGATAAAATTATTTTGTTCTTCTATCATAGAGAAAACAAATTAGATTGTAAGTATATTACTTCTCTAAAAATATTATTTTGTTATTGTACATATGCATAACGATTTAGAGAGAATTTTCTTTCTTTAAATTGTTAAATACACAAGGCCTTTAATCGTTGTATAAATATATTTCCTAAAAATAAATTTCACAGATATACAAAAAAATAAAATTTAAAATTAATACTATATCATTGAGTCAATGATATATTAAAAAGGAGACAAATATACATACAGAATGTTTGATAATTAACGATGAAACTCTTGCAAAGGGATAGAATGGACTAAAGCCCGATATCCACGATGCTAGAAATCTCGGACAGAGAAAAAATTAATAAATCACATTTGAACAATTTAATCACATTACCATTGCGATTGGCCAATTCTTTCTTTATCCGGGGTTTTGGACTGATTTTTCGTGGACACAAGGTTGAAGGCTGCTTTTTCATGCTGATGCTCGATTCAAGCATGAAAATGCAGCCTAAAGGTGCCATTTTATGCTGACGCTCGACGTTCATTGTCGGTGTCAAAAGACGTCACGTGACCATTTTGCTTGACGCTAGCATAAAAAAAGTGAAGTTGAATTTGCCTAACAATTAGCGTCGTCGCTGGATCTCCGTTAATCATATCAATTTAAAATAAAAAATGGACTTTGACGTACGTAATTAATTTTTACAAATTTTACATCTTCTAAATTTTGCGATCTTCAATAGTATCGTACAAACCAAATAATATATTTTAAAAATACATATATTATAATTTCAATTTTACAAAGACTGAAAGATTATAATTGGCTAAAATATGAAATAACAATATTAATATAAATTAGAAGTAATTTAGAAATATTTGTAGTATTAAATTTAACATATTTTTCAGGATGAATCCCCTCAATCCCATACAAACGTACGGGTTATGAAACGATCTTTGAGCACAGATATCACGAATCATGCTTGTTTAAGGTTATATATAATACATAACTGAACCTAATGCATTATATTTTTATCTTTTATTAGATAAATTAGCTTCTATAACTGTTATATATTAAAAGCTAGATGTTTTATTATATTTATTATTTAATATATATTTTTATTTATTACTTAATTTAATACATGTTATCATTTAATATCTTGCAGATGATGGAGTGACCATAATAAAAAGTAGAATGCCAAGCATAAATAAAAAAATAATAACGCAATCACACAAGAAAAATATAAGTAATAAACTTGAAGATGATTGTATTAAAATAATGTGAACTTTTTTTATTGTTTTTAATATATTTAAGTTTTGTATTTAGTTAATAAATAATAATAAGGCTCTGTAAGTATAAAACAATGTAGTCAAAAGATAAAATTATCTGGCGTCGTGGAAGTTAGATGTTCGTTACTTTTGCAAATTTGTTTTAATTAAAAAAAAAACCAATATATTGTACCACGATATTGATACCATCTATCTGCGTTTTTTTCTCTTTTTATTAATGGACTCTCAACATATTTATCGATATTACTGACAAGAATATTGTTTTCTGATTACTTTGATTTTCAATATAAATGACTCGCAGCGTACTACACGAAATGAAGAATACGGGATTAAATTATAAGTTTTGCAATACTACGTATATTGTTGATTTATAGCGATGTTAAATATTATGACAACATTGAAAATGACTCGAGCGGAGTCGAAACGTTTGTTTTTGTCAATTGTAATTGTTATATGAATTTTATGATTTAATTTAAATTAAAGTTCTTTGCTATTATACATTACTAGCTCTTTGCCCTTCTTTGACTACATTGTTTTGTACTTTTTGTTACGCCTGTACAATGAATATTATCTGAGTAAAATTCTTACAAGAAACGAAGAAATTCAGATGAAGGCTTAAAAACAAAACTTAATCATGATGATGAAGAAACTCTCATTTTAGAAGTCCAATTACGAAAGCCTCTTTGAAATTACAAACTTCCATTATCACTAAGCAACATAAAAATTACAAAAAATTTATAGCAAGAAGTAGCAAATGCTTTAAATGAGAAAATTACAGTCAATGAAGCTAATAAGATAAAATTTAAAAGCTTACATGATACATCGACAAATAATAAATAAATATTAATAAATATAATATTCAAAATAAGTTAAGTTGTCGCTCAAAATTCGACACTGTAAACTCTTCATGGATTTCAGTTGTCGCTGGTAACAATTGTAGTCATGTGATCCTTTTTGACGCTAGAAAATGAGTGTTTCAGCGTCGCATAAAAGCTGATACTGTAATGTGCTCTTTGTTTCCTGTTTCTTGCTTTTTTCCTCTTGTTTCTTCCCTCTTTACAACCGTTTTATTGACAATTGTATTTCTTGCTATGTATTTCTTGTTTCTTCCGAAGTTCGTTAATTTTTATCTCAGGCGACATAAAACAAAAAAATCAGGTAAGCAAAACAAAATGTAAAAAATAGCAAAAAACAAGAAACAAAAAAGCACATTGTAGAATAACCAGAAAAGACACCTTAAGAGATGCACGTTCGTCCGGTTCGTCGTCCTTTGATTATAAATGGATCGCTAGCATGATGTGCTTAGTTTGCAAGCATCTCTCTAAATTTCCGCCGTCTCTGTTTACAAATGTCGCGTCAGGGGAAAAAGCTGCCAACTGTGAACCGCTAAACATGGGGCGATATTCATAGTTCATTTTTATTTTAAGGATAAAATCACACGATGCGGAAAAGAAAATGCGTCATAGAAGCAACCAATCAGCGTTCTTCTGCGTTATTCCGAATAGCTAATTGATTGTTTCAATGATGCATTCTCTATTCCGTCCTTTTCTGCACAATGTAATATTACACTAAGAGTCTGAGCACAAGAATTGTCGCAATACTTACTTAGCTTAAGTAACGCACAAGCATTCACGTATGACGTACAACTTGCCGTGTCTCCAAAAAACGGCAAATAGCGTATGTTATACGCCAAAGCTTGTGCATTACTTATGTCTACAATTTAAATCTCTAAATAAGGCTGCGTTCGGAACACTCACTGGTGTGCCATTTATTGAGTCATCTAAAAAGTATCCGCGGTACTTTGTCACTAGATATATGACCATCAACACACATCTAGTGACAAAATACCGCGGATACTTTTTAGATGACCGAATATACACCAGCCGTTCGGAAATACTCGTGTGTACTCGGTGCGCATTAGTGTGAGATCATTCGGAAATGTTGAGTTACATCGAGTGCCACTAAATCATCCGTGCGAAAAGCAAGGGGAGTCGATGTGAGCCGGTGTATTATGGTCACAGCACAGATTTGCATAACGCATAATGCATAGTGCATAAGGAAATCGATTAATCGAAATTCTTCTTTTCCATGGAATGGAAAGGACAATTACATCGCATTCTTGGGTCAAAAAATTTTGAGTAGTTATGTTAATCTAGAAAATTTGTCTAAGTTTTATTATTTTTTTATTTATTTTTATTCTAACTTTCTTTTTATATTGCTCTGCCTTCAATAATATTTTACGCACATTATACAACAGATTATTTGTATAAATGTTGTAAAATTAGTATGTATCTAGTACTATTTAGAAAAACTGTTCTAAGATCGACAATAAGCTTCGCAGAATAGATCTTTGGACGGTGAAGCAACATCCCGCATCTAAAGTTTTATATCACTGATGTCAATTTTCTTTAAGGATTTACAATAATAAGATCTGTTACAATCAGAATATGGTTAGTTGTCAAACCTGTGCTGATTTTACAATGAGTCGACAAAGACTAACGCTAATTGATCAAATTCATCGATTAAGATTAATAAAGATGAATTATAAGTCATAAATCAGAAGTCAGAAACTTGACTACTCTGTGATTGGCTCATTTCTAACTTATGACTTATAATTTATGATCTATGGCTTATTGTAGAAGGCCCATAAGACTACCGACTCATTGTAGAATCAGTATTATATTACTTGAATTTTCACGATGAAAAATTTTAGCATTGTTTAAAATCGATACAGCAATATATAATTACCCGATTACGATAGTGAAATGTTTATTAAGAGCTTTCGGTAATCGTGGAAGGAATGACTTATATTCCTTTCTTTTTACAATCATATACCGCCACCATTCCTCTTTACAATCATTCCATCGCCTTTTTTCACCGATGAATTATTTAGCTCGAGATTAGAGATAAACGTGAGCGGTGAAGTGGAATTGAAATGACACACACGTTACACGAAAGCCTTTCGAGAACTCACCATCCAAAGGCACACGACGGTGATGTTTCCGAATGTAGCCCAGATAGTGTGGTTCCTCAGCTGGTGGCAATGATGCGAATTCCGGGCCGCTTGCAGTACAGTTACTAGCATGAAGAGGGTATAAAAAGGTACATACACTACAATGAGTCCATATCCGTGTATATTTGCGCATGCGTGTGTCCGTCTATGCTCTCTTCATACTAATAACCGTGCTGCAAGCGGCCCGGAATTCGCATCACTGGCTGGTGGTAGGTGAACTCATTCAGTGTAACGTGTTTCCGTGGCTGTAGTGTGTTCCAGTCGGTCACAGTCCTATTTAGACTAACCTATACTGTGGTTCCGGCGATCGGCGTGGATTTGATGGATGTGGCATGGATATTATATTTATTTGTTGACATAAAAATTGTATAAAATTGAGATATTGGTCATCTAAAAAGTATCCGCGGTACTTTGTCACTAGATATATGACCATCAACACACATCTAGTGACAAAAAACCGCGGATACTTTTTAGAGGACCCAATATAAACATTTTTGTATGTAGCACCATGAATGACTTACTAGCTTTTACTACGTGTCGCATGCGATGTTTACCTTAGTGTTTATAAACTGCATTCTGTATGTTTTCATTCAATTTCGATACATACTTTATATGCCAAACATATACGGAAATGGAAGAATATGTGGAATTTCTGTAAATATAGTAAATAATTCCTGATGCTAACATACAAAAATGTTTATATCTTAGTTGAGCTTTCAACCTATTCACTAAAGGTTTTTTTACTTACAATTAATATGGTGTTTACTATCTACTATAAAAATGCTGAATGGTTTTTTTTTTAACACTCTATTATATATTTTTAGTGTATAGTTATAATTGCGCATATACATATTAGTAAAACATATTATTTGTAATGTCTTTTAAAATAACCTGTCTTTCTAATACAAAGATATTTTTATTATTGTGTACAAATGTACTTTCTATTCTAACTAATTTTATTAATTAGTACAGTTTAATTTACTAATGTATTAATTAGTATGTTTTTAAATTGATCTCATCTTGCAAAACTTCTACAAATGATGTAATATTATTTCTGCGACGCGGTAAAAGTTAAATTGAGTTCAATTTTTGTCGCGCGATTGAAATTGTATCTATTATTTCCGAGTAAGCGAAATGTTGATTGGCTGTGTCCCCAATTTCCGCCGCGCGGCAAGCGTTGCCGCGTTCTGTGTGCTGGAGCAAATAGTATCTCTAGACCGTTTCTCTATTATCAGAAATTTCAGAAGTGAGGGTAACTCTCCTTTAGAAAAAGACACACTTATTCGGTTAAGTCAACGTGCGTTTTCTCTCGTTTCGCGCATATGTATAAAGTGTATCTCTGAGGAGAGGGTGGAAAGAAAGAACGAGAAATCAGTAATGCGAATTCCGGTCCGCTTACATCACAGTTACTAACATGAAGATACATACACTACAATGAGTCTATATCCGTGTATACTTGCGCATGCGTTGTGTGTCCGTCTATGCTCTCTTCATGCTAATAATTGTACTGCAAGCGGCCCGGAATTCACATCATTGATAATGTAGTGCAATTTTTATGCACGAAATGGGGTTTTGTTACACGATCTCAAAAAGACGGTGTGCGATAGAGCCAGTGTGTGACATTAAAAATTTGAAAATGGAAGTCAACCGGCAACAGAATTAAACACGATAGCATGAAGTAGTGTATACCATGATGTATGTACACTTTTGTAGTGTAGCACTGATGCAGCACTTATACGCAACTGGTGTAGTGCGAGATTACACTCAGTGTATCCCAAGAGGAAACGCTATAAAGCTCCGAACAGTAAAGATCGGCAAGTTTAAGTGCGGAAGTTGCCATGCTTTTTACAGTAAGCATCATTACTGACCGTTCTTCTTCTTCTTCTGTTTTTTCCTTATTTGGTTTTCCAACCCAAGTACAGAATCACAGTACCATGCAAATTAATAGATTCTAAAATTCTTTGAATAGTTTCCTCAGAGAACAGAAACCTTTTACTGACTGTTGCATATCATAAACATGCATGTACTATAGTTAAAACTCTCCACACCCGCAGAAAATTACTGTCCAGGGCAGAGCCTAATCTTCTAGCTTGGCGACACGTCTGAAGCTAGCTACTGACAGTCCATGTGTTTATAGTTAAAGGTCGTCACTAGGCACGTTGTTTGGTAAAAGCATAGTATATACAGTAGCGCAACTTGATTTTATGTTGTCCAAAATTAATGCGCATGCGCGAAATAAGTAAGTTGCCCAATAACGCCATCTAAACTTTTATCTCACTTTTTTCTTTTTTCGTTCTCTTTTTCAGGATTATTTAAATGTAACTGAAATACGGATCAGAGAAAGAGATAGAAGAAAAGAAAATCGTGATTAGTTTAAGTTAATTAGTTTAATTTAGTAAATTGCGAAGCTTTATAAAAAAGACTATATGTTAACAGAGTAATAGACATAAAATATGATACAATAGACTATAATAGACATAATATAAAATAAAATACAATACAATAGTTATTAGTAGCTTACAAATGGTTAAGCATCAGCAAAATAAGTAGCTTATTTGTACCTCTAAAATATCATTTCTTAACCTTCCCTGATGGAAAAATTTCGCTGAAGTTATTTCATATTTTGAAACACTTCAGCAAAATATCAGCATTTTAGAAAAATTCATAGTTTAATTTTTCAACAATTTTTTAGTCAAAAATTTCATTTGCAGCAAAATTTCAAAAAAATTTCAATAAATATTTTCAAAGAAATTCCAATAAAATTTCAGAGAGATTTCTGTTCAAATTCAACAATTTTTCAATGTTAACTGAAAAATTCACTTTCAGTGAAATTTTGAATTTCAACAAATTTTCATCAATTTCGTTGAAATGTAGAATAATTTCAGCGAAATTTCTTTACTAAGGTTATTATAAATATTTTATATATTATAAATAATATAAATATACTATAAATATTTTGATTCTTTATCTCGCACTTTCTTAAAAAAATGGATTTTTTAAATGGACTTTCAGCTGATTGGACACCAACGAGATACTATTAAAAACCGACATCCTTATGGGAGTTCGCATCCTTATGGATATTGAAGTGATTAAGAGTTAAAAACTGATAATATTGATACTAATTTTATGATTTATTAGTTTAGTAGACTAGATTTATGCATTTAAAATTCAATAATACTCGATTTAAAATTGTGATTTCAGTGTCAAAGTTTTATTATCAATAGAAATGATAACTGCAGAGAAAAAATTGTAATTTTTCTGCAATATATAGGATGCTATAGCTTTATAAGTATGCATATTTATTTATGGAATATTTATGTAATACAAAATCATGAATTTAATAATATACGAGCCAAATATTTATGTTAATAATAGCAAATATATATCAATTATTGATAATATCAGCGTTCTTCAATTATCTCTGGATCCTTGGGGACCTTTTTATCTGAAAATTTACTCAGGGTTGACAGTCTTTAATATTATAGTATCTCGTCGCTGCATTGGATCATATCTTGTAATCTTACCACTGCTCATCACGTTTTATTTTATTCTCACATTTCTCTCGCTCAGTCGTGAACAGTCACGAAGAACTGAATTTAATGATAAGCTACTAGCACTGAAATTTAGGTTTAGTAATTCGAGATTGAAATCTGAGTTCTGACGTTGGAAACCAGATTGAGATCTGAAGAACAATTATATAGAACGGAATCCATAGACGTTGCTCAAGATTCGAGATGATCTTAAGCTAATACATGAAACAATCAGAGAGCCATATTAGCATTTTAAGACATTGCTTGAGATTGAGAACGGACTATGAATTCCGGCCTATTGAATTTGAGTATGCATACATATGCACGTCAATTTTTGACACCGCGATTTACTATGGACTCACACCACATCTACTTTATCGGCATCACGTAGCTACGTAGTACTCAATTTGAAAATAGATGGCGCTAGTATACGGGAGAGGTTCCACGAAAAATGTCGAGATGGCCTCTCTCAGGCTTCTTTCTGCTTCGTACTATGATCGATCTCGAGCGTCATGGTATGCTCCACCGATCGCAGAACACGGCTTATACTCTACGGTTACAACGACGGTGCTCGGGCGGAGTCGGGCGCGCCTTCGATGACGGCGACGTCATGGCGCAAGATGGCCGTCGGTATCGGGAATGGTGTATTGTAGACGAGGCTGGGCGGAATTCCGGGTAATAGGTGTGTCGGTGTTTGACATTACGTGCAAAATAATACTCTATTAGAATGATGCCTTGCCGCGTTGTTGTCGTCGCTGCTGTGAGCTGAACTCAGAATTTTGGCTCTGTGCAGCACAGTGCTTGTCGTGTAAGAATTATATGTATAAATCGGCTCCGTGTGCTCGTCCAGTCTTTCCCTCTCTTTCTTTTATTATCTCACTTCTCTCTCTCTCTCTCTCTCTCTCTCACACTCTCTTTGACGTCGGTGATAAGTAAGTAAATGTTGTGGGAATGTCTGGTATAGGAGATCACCAATTTCTTTTCTGCGAATTTCTGTTACTGCATATTTATGCGAAAAGGATGATCTTCACGAAAGCTTATAGCGCTTCAAAATTGAAAAGAAAAAATCGACGAAAATCGAAGCGTAAATATGTGCTGAGAAATTTGAGAATCTAAGAATGAGGTGCCACCGGCTTTCTTCGAGGTTATAACAATATTCTGCGGGTGTCAGGTTCCTGATGAAGAGGCACAGAATCATTAAAAAATACAGTCGAAAGTGTGATAGCACTGAACTAGAGAAAAAAGCAAGACAAAATACCTGGGAAGTAGAAGACTATGTCTGTCCCTCTCTTGCTCTCTTTGGTGCTCTCTCCCCTAAGTGCTTTACAGAATTGGCTGAGAATACAGTAGTATTATGGCTAGTATCATTATTATTATTACAGTATCGACGTGACTGGTTGCTTCTTCAAAATTGTTCTGAAATTGCAAATCAAGTTATAAGAAGAAAAAAAGTGATAGTTACGTACTACAAAAAGAATAGATACCTGTTTTGAAAAAAAAAAGAAGAAATTCAGAGATAGCGAATTTAGAAGAAGGAGATGGAAAGAAGTGTTACTGTATCGTTCAGAAACAATCGGATATTTGTTTTGAAAGAGGAAATTTTGAAATTGCAAAAATTTATAAATTCTAACTAAGCGTTTTTAAGATAACAAAAAATTTCTGCAAACACAAGTGATCAAATTGCATGGGAAGTAATACCTTGAGATTTCATATAAGAACAAGAACACAGATACAAAGAAATTGTTAAGTGGGCTTGATAATGAATTCTTTCTGGGATACAAGAAAGAACACACTGCGATAATTCGTGATTAAGGTGTCGTAGATCTATTTATGATGATGTATGCGAACTGTTTAACCAAAATTGATCTGCAATCGATTAATTTCATTGAATGGAGCATGATATTGATTTCCGTGTTTGAATCCGATAAAAAAAACATTATCAAATAATCTGAGAAAGAATTATGTATGAGGAATGATGTATTCATAACTAATTATGTATGAAGAATGATGTATTCATAACTGCAGAAGCGATTAAACATCCAATGAAGGAGCCGATAAAATAAACATTGGCTTTCGAATTTGACTGATAGCGCGCGCAAGTTTCTCTCTCTCCCTCTTTCTTTTTTTAATATAACTAAAAATTGCGATGTTGGGCATATATATGTCAAGAACGCACAGTGCACGCGGCGAGGAGACTTTTACGCACGACGGCCGACGCACGAATCTCCGTCACTTGTACGATCGGCGAAGCAAATACGCCGCATGATCGGGAAATGTCGGCTTCGAAGTCGTGACAGTAGACGAATAGTTTCGATCGAAGCGAGAGCGATCGCGTGGAAGTCTTCGTTGAGGGAGAAATAGAGACGCGTGTTTTTATTGCTTCTTGCTCGCAAAGCAGGGACATTTGATTTATATATAACAGCCGATTTAATTTGAAAAACAATAATATTTCGTTGATGAACAAAAATACTGAAAAGTATTGATTGTAAGATTGTACTTAATTGCGGATTCGTCAGAGAATAAATTTTGCGAAACGGTAAAAGCCATGATTTGGCTAGTTGCCAACAACAAGCGCAAGTTTCGCAGAATCAGCACTTGCTTTATTCACATGCGTAAAAAGTACTTTCTCTTAAAAATTGAGTCGGACTCATCACGCGATAGAAACATTAATATAAAGCTGTAACCTGTATATATTTGGAACAAGATAGAGAGTGGGCAATTATTGATTAAGGTAAAGCAAAAGAAGATCAGTAATAAGAAAAGGCAAAGAATGTACCAGAAAGAAAAGATGCTAATATGGCTATATGATGATTTGTGACTTCTTAAGAGCCGAAGCATACACCTTTGCATAACGCATATAGCATAACATGAGAAAATCAACCCCAATCAGAGTCTTTTATTTTACGAAAAGGAAGGATATGAAGGCCTTTGATTGGTTCATTTTCTTATAAGATATGCGTTATGCAAAACTCTGTGCTCTTGTTTTAGGACTACTTAAGACAGTCTTAAATATAAGAACCGACTATAAATATTAACCTGTGAGAAATGGACAAGAAAAAAGAAAAAAAGAAAGAAATAGAAAGGAGAGATGGAAGGAAAGGGATGGAGAAAATGAGATAAAAGAAATAGTAGAAGTGAATCATAATGAGATAAGCAAGATAATGAGATAAGTTCGGCAGGGAAAAGGGAAACGCCGATATTTTCCTTTTTCTTTTACTTTATGCGTTTATACGTAGTACGCGCACGCGTACATGTGAGAGTATGGGTGTGTAGTTGTGAGTGTAGGTTACGTGTGATATGAGCGCGCGCGTGCACGTATATACTAAGTATATACTACGTGTATACATCATTCTACATGCGCTTGTGTCACGCGCTCGAATGTTGCGCGTGGTCGTTAGAGGCGCATGTAATTCGCCGGTAATTATCCCACAGATCCATTGCTTCCGGGGTGCGAATAACAAAATAATACAATAATTCCGACGAGCACAGAGAACTATCGCGACGAGAGGACGATAGCAATATATCTACAACGTGCAAAATGTGGAATATGATGTGTGATGTGATGCCGACGATTGCGGAGGACAGTATGAGCCAGCGGAGTTCGCAATTTTCCGGCGAGGACGGGAACATCGAGCAACTGATGGTGCAAATGCTAGACGAGCGTGACAAAATGATGGAATCGATGCGCGAGCACCAAGAACGGCTGCAGGAAATGGAGGCGCGATTGACAGAGGTCGAGAAGGAACGGGATGCCTTGAATCGCCAGCTTAACGCAAATATTCCCCAGGTAAGTCAATAAGTCTGTTCGCATTGTTTCGACGCTCGAATCATCAATTCATCTCATTTCAAGACAAACATTTTTCAAGGTTTGGAACAGCGCGACCATATCTAATTCTGTATTTATTTATGGTTGATTGCGTGCAATGACTTAACATGTTTATAAAAACAATAGCGACCTTATGCCTGTATCAGACTACGGATTGACAATGTAAATAATTGCTTTAAAAAAAGAGTAAAAAAGGTATCAGATGTAGAAAAATGAAGATGTTTTAATATAAGTATATTTTCTTACACTCCACTGCGAATTTTGTTGATAATGAATTTTTTATTGATAATGTTAAAACAAAGATTTTAAGATGTTAAGTTTATAGTTTAATTATTTAGAACAAGACTGATTTTGTCTATGGAAAGAGCAATGAAATTTTGGACGAATAATTTTGTAATGATACATGATGACACGATATTGAATTTATATTTCTTTTTTAGACAAAATTTTTTCGTAGAGGCGCTTTTTAATTATGTTATGTGATCTTTTTAATTATGTTTAATTATGATCATGGATCTTCGCAATCGCTAAAACGTTTACGTAACAAACGTACCGCGGAAGCTGATTTAATGCGAACTATACTCGCACACATATTATCTTTGTAGTTGCTCCACTTTCCGCGAGATAAGCATGTTGCTAACGTCATAATTAACTCCTTATTTAGTATACTTTACTTTACCGCTGAAGTATAAGGGTGTTCAGCATTCATATCCGCACGATTTTTGGGATGCTTCTGGAACAAAAAAGTCATAAATTAGATATTTACTTGTTTCATGCAAACTATAACTTAAATTAAAAAATAAATATTTACTTATTTCATACAAGCTATAAGTTAAATTTAAAATAGAGCTGGGATTTAGTTGCACATTGCGGCCGATTTTCAGCTTGGCTCCTTACTTTACCGGCATTTAGACTACGGCATTTAAATCCCAGCTCTGATTTAAAAAATTGAAACAGCTTTTTAAATAAAAATACATGAAGTGTAAAAGCTCAATTGTACAATCAGATGGGTAAAAATAAAGAGTATGAGCCGATATAGGTTTTTCGTGTGTAAAATTAATAGTTATTAATAGAACTTTAGACGTTTTGACCACATTTTTTTGGACAAAACTTGTAGTAAACTGATGCATTAATAAATCAATATAATCAATAATCTATAATATTATTATAACAAGTCTCTCGATAAAATTATAAAGATGTGTATTCAAAATTTAAATTCTTCAAAGTATTTGTTAAATTCATCATAGTATTTGTTTGAATAATGTGTACGTGAGTCAATCGATAAAATGATGCTATTACTGTAATAATAAAAATTCTCATGAACAATGATCTTAATATTATAAATCTTATATTATAAATTTAATATTTATGTTATAAATCTTAATATTATAATTAAATGAAAACTTACATAGCGACTGTACATACTTTAGTAGATGAATAAAGTGTAACATTATGAAAATCCGTTAACCATCAGTAATCATGTGAGATATTTGAGAGAATAATAATACATGTACATACATGTATATATAGAAATAATAAATTAACAGAAAAACATAGAATGGGAGAATTAAAACTTTGTAAAAAGGTCATGATATAAATATTTTTAAATAAATAAATTAAAATTATCTTGAATCTTTTTAAATAGCACCGTGCAATTTTTTTTCATAACACTATAAAGATCTTTAATAGCGTTTCTCATTGGAAGAAGTATAGTGCAACACTTGTGCACACTGACAGCAATAAAGTATATTATTACATTGTTAAAACCAGTATATACTTTTAGTGTTTAATGTTACATTGACAAAACTGGTGCAAAAAAGTTGCACTGAATTCAATTTTTTTTCCACTGTCTTGAAAGATGGAGATAAGTGCAAGTTGAAATTAATTGAAATTGAGATTGTGTTTATACTTTAAGGTATAATATTACATTAAGATATAATATTGTTCTAATTATCTTTAATACAATAATAATATTATTTCTAGTTCTAGTATGTGTAATAATATCTATGCAACAAATATTAATTTAAATATTTGATGTTTAAAATTTTTGAAATTCAAGAAAAATTAATAAAAAAGTTTTTTGTTAGAAATAAATAATAAAATCAGAATATTATTATAAAATAAGTAATTCAGTGATTGAATTTTACTGAACCTGTTACTAATGCAGTTTTCATCGAAACTTAGCACGGTGCTGGTGCTGCACTAGTTTTCTCAATGAAAAACGCTATAAGACGAATTCAACGAATTCAATCATATATAAGGAATGTTGCTTTATCATATGTTTTATTAATTTTATTGATGCATGTAAACATAAATATTTATTAATAAAGAAAAATTGTAAATTTCTTTAACGATAAATAAATGTTCAAATGTTTGAACATTTATTTATTCTCCTTCTGTAATACAAAGTTCTGTTCTTTTTAATAAATTAATAAATATGCCACTACTACTATGTTTCCATTAGGAAATTTTCCATTTATCTGCAAATACTGTTCAATGTTTTTAAAAGATTTCTCTAATAAATGATTTCTAACTTTTTATAAGTTAGCGGAATAAAGTGAGCAGAATCAATCCTAACATTTTTCTTTATGTAAAATTTTTTTGTCTTGTTGCTAAAAAGTTGAAAATAGAAATTTGTTATTCTATCAGATTTTCTTAAAAATGATATTCTAAAAGAAAATTAAGTTAGCGGGACAACATAAAATAATAATTATAGAGACCGGAGCTCGTTGATATAAGAGGCAAGTTGGCATTCCGTTTATGTATTTATAACGAAAGAAATAATGGAATATTTACCATAAAATATTTCTTTTAGAACGTAGGTACTTTTTGCTAAGTTTTATTTAAATCAAACAAGTATTAAAATAGAAAAAAAATCTGATTCAAGAGAAGCAACTTTTTAAACATTTTATATTTTCATATTAATGCCCAGCTTGAGAAAGCAAATTTAAATATTATTAAGTTAAAAGTATTATTAGCGTATTATATTAGTTAAAAGAGAAGTGTCCGTTAGTAAACGTACGTTATTTTGAATACTAATGGTAATTTGTTATAATAAAACGAAAAAAATTGGATGTGTGTGGGGATAGGATACGTTGGTTCATACATTAAAAAAGGATAGATTAACTTGCTGTATGTGTGAATATTCAATTACAATTTCACTATGGCAAAACACGCTTTATATATTTAATATTTCATTAAAATAAGAAGTAGAACTAAAATTTATATTTGTTTTTCTGAAATAACATTTTACTATTTTGATCATGCAAAATAACTTTCAAAGATATAATTTTTACTAAGAAGAACATACTACATCTACATAGAAAAAAAGTTTCTTTAGATTTAGTAGTCCTATTTATTTGACTGAAATTTGTTTCATTGAAACAATATATGCTTGTACGTAACATTATTTGTTTTCCAATACAAATTTTGTTGTTTTGATAATATTTTGTTGTTTTATTTGAGAAACCTCTATTGTTTGTTTAAGGGGAGAATTCCGTTTTTTTGGGGAATTCTTTTTTATCAAAATATAAAGTCAATACGTTTAAATTTTGGAATTATTTTACTATATTTAAATGTAATTATAGTTTTTTTTTTATTAAATTTGAGCTAGTATTACGCCTGTTATCTCTCCTCAAACATGGTGCCGCGCGAAGTATCTCCGTCACTGGTGTGCAAGATATCTTCCGTCTCGGTTATCTAAAATATAAAAATCTGATAGCGTTTAATTTTATATACATAGTTATCGTTGAATGAACAGGCAAAAAAAATAAATAATTGAGAAAATGATGGTTGGTCAAATAAAAATCATCGATTTCGCTCTAAAAATTGGTTGAATTTTTTGTAATAAAAATAAAATATATAACGGATTATTTTTCTTTTTCATCACACGATGTTTCCTCAACATGCAGTTCATGAATGTGGAAGATGATCGGTCTATTAGGTTCGCAGATATCATGCACACTAGTCGCGAAAAAGTTGTTTCGAGAAAAACGCGTTTAAAGTTTTATACTTGTGCGCTAAGTTATATGCTTGTGCGCCGAATTGATCATAGCTTCGCTAATTTTACGAATTTCGATTTGAAATTTGCTATACATATTTTTAACATTTCATTCTATAACATATATATATATATATATATTTTCCATAAAAAAATCGATTTTTTTCCCCCAAAAAAACGGAATTCCCCTTAATAGAAAAAACATTATTATTTGAAGTAATATCTTTCAACCAAACAATATATTATAATTATTTGGTTACAATGAATACAAACAATGAAAAAAATTATTTATTTGAAAATATATTGATAAAGGTTGTTCTATATAAATTAATTGCTTTCTTAGAACAAGCATTACATTTTTTGACCGAAATTAACAACGGCTTATACATCTAATAACAAGATTAAACGAGCGTTACATGCTATATTTGTGTTTGTGCCATACAGTTAGTCGCGCGAATGCGGAAGATAGAAATAATCTGTTCAAATAAATAATGTATTTAAGACAAAGATACATTGTTTCAAATTTAAACAATCGTACTTATTATTATTCTCAACAGCACAAAACTTCCAGCAATATTGCTGTAACATTACTGCAACGCGTAATATTGCTACAATATTGACTCATAGTCCTTTTATTTATATATTACTTTAATTTTATTGGATCTTTTATTTAGGAAAATCAGATAGTAAAAGATTTTTTTTAGATTTAATAAATTTTATTGTATCTAAATAAATTTATTATTTGGAATGATCTAACCAATGTTTGAATCCCAACAACTCAAAAGTTGCAGTAATATTACTACAATATTAGCAATAACCGATGAAATTAATATCTAAAAAGTTCTAGTACTTTAAAGTTTCAACTTTTGAATTTTTCAAGTCCACGTAGGTAAAAATTCTTTTTCGGAAATCCGTCATTTTATTAAGAGTTCTGGTAGCTCCCTGAAGAGTTCTAATGATT